TGAAATAGGGCATGATCTCGGGTAGGTCTGGACAGTCTCAGATGAGAGTCTGTGATCAAACATTCTATGCCTCGGTCTGTAATCAACCTCTTCTTTGTACCCACAAGTTTCCAAACAGTCCTCTCTCATCTTTCTGAAACAAGTCTTTGGCTCTAAGCCTCTGGCTTTCTGCACTTTGATATAATCTTCAAGTTCATCTTGAAAAGAGTCATATGTCTTCTTTGAATGCTTCATTAGGTTGACAACAAGGGGTTCTCTGTAGAGAAGATGGGAGAAAATTCTTCTTACTAGATTATTGTATTCTGAATATTTCCTTTGCTCTTGAAGAGAGCTTCAAAAAACAAAACAAAGAAGCCCAGACAAATTAAAACCTAATTCAGCAAAGAAGTTAAATATCATGACATTATACACCAAAATGGTACATTAGGATAGTCAAATATCTCCCAGGCCACTCACAAGTAGGTTTATCATTCTCAGAAGTGGGATGAAGAGGGCAGAGAGCAGATGACATATAGGGTTCTGTTGTATGGCTAAAAATGTAAGGCATATAGGGATGTGTGGTTAAGGGCCACACATCCCTGATAGGTGGCTGATAGTTTTCATAGTTTTCCTAAAGTTCTGACTAATTAGTTTCTTGTATATTGTTTTTTAAGAGAAGTAATAGAACCATAGAGAATAATTTTTAAAATCTTCAGTTTACTCAGACAAAATAAAATAAATATGCTTACTTACCTGACTAGAGTACCATAAGACTTAATAATAAAAGGATGTTTATAAAATGGTTTGGGAATGCTGGAAATTGGAAATTCTGCTACGAGATGAAACTACTCTTTTGTATAGGGCATGAGGGAAGATGAGGGAACAGAGTTCTGTATCTTCTGTCCAGGGCTTGGATTTCATTCCATTACTTCTGATTGGTAAAAAAAAACATTCTAGAATGTCTTCTGGTTTGTCCTCTATTAAAGTACTGGTGGGAGGGTTAAGGGAGGAATGGAGGTGAAAGCGGAGAGGGGGTCAGACTGATGCAGAGAAAAGTTTTAGAAGAAATTTAAAGTAGAGACACTAATTTTTTGTTGGCTTGTTTGATTCTTTTGGTGGGGGCAGCACTATTTCTGATTTCTTTCCCCTACCTCAAATCCTGCATTAAGTACAAATGTAGCAGAAAAGATCCTTACTACAAGATCATCTCCTATGTAGTTTTGATGATATACTTTGTCTCTAAAAATTAGGAGGTGGCATACCCATGGAGAACAGAATGTTCTTCCCTTTAACAGAAAGAAAGAAGCATGACATAGCACTCCAGAGTCACTAATGATCAGCTACGTTTTCTGGAAATTTTAGATCAAAAAATAAAGTCTAAATGAAGTCTAATTTGGTGAATCAGAAAATTTAGCTCCTATTCAACTTAAATAGTACAAAAATTCTAACGAGAATAACGCAACAAATATTTGATTATAGGCAAAAGATTTGAACAGACAATTCAGAAAGGAATATATACAAAGGGCCAATGAACACATGAAAAAATATCAACAGTCATCAGGTCAATGTCAATTAAAACCACAATGCAATTCCACCACGCACTCACTAGAATGACTGGGATAAAAAGAATGACACCAGCAGTGTAGTTGGTGAGGATATGGAACAACTAGAATTCTCACACACTGCTGGTCAGGGATAGAAAATGGTACAACCACTAGCAAACAGTTTGCTGGTTTCTGAGGAAGTTAAACATACACCTACTGTACGATCTAGTTATTCCATTCCTCAGTATGTCCCCCAAAGAAAAGGAAATATATGTCCTTACAAAGAATGATACATGAATATTTATGGTAATTTTGTTTTAGCCCCAGAAAGGAAAAAACAGAAATGATGATCAACAGGTGAATGGAACTATCAATAGTGTTACATCCATACAGTGAAATACTATCAGTGGTAACAAGGGAAGAATTATTGGTTATTGATAGAGTCAACAACATCGATGCATCTCAAAATAATTATGCTGAGAGAAGCCTGACAAAAAGAGTATATAACATATGATTCCGTCTACAGAAAACTCTAGAAAATGCAAACTAACGTACAGTAACAGTGTTTGCTTGGGGATGAGACAGGAAAGGATGGGAGGGATGATTATAAAAGGCACATTATGGAGTCTGGATATGTTTACTGTATTGATCATTTGATGGTATACACATATATCTGTCAAAACTCAAATTTTGTATTTTAAATATGTACAGTTTATTGTATGTTAACTATATCTCAATAAAGCTGCTTTTACAAAGTCACTAGCAAGATGAAAAAGATGGTGATAACTGTTGAAGCTGGATGCTGGTATATGAGGGTTCGTTATACCATTTTGTCCACTTTTATGTTTAGAAATTGATACTTCATGCCCACAAGGATGGCTATAATAAAAAAGACAGGTGAGATTCAGTATTGGCAAGGATGTGGAAAAATGGGTCATTTCATTCATTGCTTGTGGGGATGTAAAATGTGCCGCTATTTTGAAAAATAGTTTGGACTTCTGGCCCCAAGCACACAGGTCTGAGCCTGCCTGGAACCAGGTAGACCATCATGATGAAGTTCAACCCTTTTGTGACCTCGGACCACAGCAAAACCCCCAAATGCCACTTCAGTGCTCCCTTGCACATGCGCAGGAAGATCATGTCTTCCCCACTCTCCAAGGATTGGTGGCAGAAGTACAAGGTCTGCTCCATGCCCATCCATACAGATGATGAGGTTCAGGAGGTTCAAGGACACTATAAAGGTCAGCAATCAGCAAGGTAGTCCAGGTGTTTAGAAAGAAATTAGGTCATCTACATTGAGCAGGTTCAATGTGAGAAGGTAATGCCACAACTGTCCATGCACGCATTTACCCAAACAAGGTGGTTATCAGCAGGATAAAACAGGAAAAGAGCAGGAATAAATTCCTTTTTTTTTTTTTTTAAAGACTTTGTTTCTTTTTTTGTTTTAAAGTTTATTTACTTAGAGACAGAGACAGAGAGAGGGAGCAGAGGAGGGGCAGAAAGAGAGAGAGGGAGAGAGAGAATCCCAAGCCCTGACGCAGGGCTCGAATCCATGAACCGTAAGATCATGACCTGAGCTGAAGTCAAGAGTCGGAGTCAGATGCTTAACCACCTGAGCCACCCAGGCACTCTTGATCAGAAAAAAAATCTTGAATGCAAAGCCAAATCTCAACAAGTTGGAAAAAAGAAAGGCAAATATAAGGAAGAACTTATTGAGAAAATGTAGGAATGAGTATAAACTGTTATGCAACCATAGTTTAACTGCAGATTTTTAGCTTGGTATATACTTCTTTGAAACTTTTCAAGATGTCTCTTGAACGTTTCATTACCTTCCTGTTTTGTTATTGACATGTGGCTCTGTAAATCAACTTTTGCTGTTTTAATAATTTTATGAATAACCTTGGAAATGTTTCCTAATTAAAAAGAAAAAAAAGAAAAACAGTATGGCAATGCCTCAAAATGTTAACAGTGTTACTGTATGACCCATCAGTTTCACTCCTAAGTATATGCCCAAGAGAACTGAAAACCTATGGTTACACAAAAACTTGCACACAAATGTTCACAGTAGCAATATTCATAACTACTAAAAAGTAGAAACAAGTCAATGTCCATTAACTGATGAATGGATAAATAAAATGTGGTATATTCATACAATGGAATATTATTCAGCAGTAAAAAGGAATGAAGTACTAATATGTGGTACAACATGGAAAAATCCTGAAGGCATGCTAAATGAAAGAAGCCAGTCCCCAAAGCCCACATATCATGCAGAAATCAATGAAGAGGTGAATGGAAACTTACCTTTATCAGGCTGGGAACTTGGTGAAGAAATCTGATCATATTCCCCCATTAATTGCTTCAGTTTTCTAGCATGGACTTTCCCCAAATGGTGAGACCGTGCAACAACCAGGAAGCTAAAAAACATGATGCAGAGATCCCAAAATCTATTTTTGTCTAATATCCCACTCCCAGTCATCTGAAACCAAGTACAATCTTGTTACAAAGATTAAATAGTTCAAAGTTTAGACTCATACCACGAACATAGATCCAGAATCTGAAAATTCACAAATCCATATCCTTTTTTATCATTTTACTTCCTATAAACCTGAAAGTTAGGCTATATATTGAGCCTATATTTTTTTTAAGCATATATTTTACTCCGGAAAAGTAAATAATATTTTGTTTTACAACACAGTGACCCCAAATGTCTACCTCTAAATTTGAAAATAGCTTTCATGATTTTTAACACATTTAGTCTGAACTAAAAGTTTAAGGACAGAGTTTTGTTTGCATTCAAATCAAAGTATCAGCTTCAGTAGAAATTATCCTATGATTCAGAAGATCTTTATTTTCAACCTCCCTCATAATATGAAATCCTTTGCAATTCAAACTATATCACTACTTCCCATATACCTTTTACAAAGAGTATTTGTAAAAGCTCAATATTTATTCATTCAATGTGGTATCTATGAATAAAATAAAGGGAGGGAAGATTGAAGATCATATTAAACATTTAAGGTAATATTTTCAATCTGTAACTAGATATCACTTCACATACCATCTCAAATCTTAATTTCCTGAGTGCTTGCAAGAGTATCTACTAACTTTTTGCTAATTAGAATGAAATTTCAGTATGAAAACATTTAGTAAGGCTCTACTATTTAATATGGTAGTATATTCTTATTTAGTCCAGAATATATTCTGAAAGGGAAGTTACTGGGTCACCAGTAGGAGTCTGGACTTTATGGAAATGATCTGTATTGAAAGGCTGGGAGAAGATATCTGGCCCTGGCATTTTTGTGTTTTATAGCAGACAATTTCAAGAAATAGTCTATTTTAAGATAGTTACTGATTCTAGCTGTATCTCTCAGGTCATCTGGGAATCACAGAGAGGAACCACAAACCATCTTTACCTGTGGTGGGCAACAGTCCTCTATAGTTGTACAAAAATGATCACAAGCAAGGCTCCCTAAACAAGGCTCAGATAAGCCACTCAAAGCTATAGTCATATTCACGTATTAACTTCCAGAACTTTTGCTCAAAGTGTTCCTCACCTCAATAAATAATCTACACCAAACTTACCACATGTATCCTTGAGGTCCATACTACTATCTAAAGTTCCTAACAGTTGAAATGTATTTTTATTGAAATTTACTAGTTTATAGCCAAATTATGGGAAGAGCCTAAATGTCCATCAACTGATGAATGGATAAAGAAGTTGTGGTTTATATACACAGTGGAATACTACTTGGCAATGAGAAAGAATGAAATATGGCCTTTTGTAGCAACGTGCATGGAACCGGGAAGTGTTATGCCAAGTGAAATAAGTCATACAGAGAAAGACAGATGCCATGTTTTCACTCTTATGTGGATCCTGAGAAACTTAGCAGAAGACCATGGGGGAGGGGAAGGGAAAAAAAAAAAAGTTTGAGAGGGAGGGAGGCAAACCATAAGAGACTCTTAAAAACTGAGAACAAACTGAGGGTTGATGGGGGGTGGGAGGGAGGGGAAAGTGGGTGATGGGCATTGAGGAGGGCACCTGTTGGGATGAGCACTGGGTGTTGTATGGAAACAAATTTGACATTTCATATATATATAAAAAGAAATTTACTAGTTTATAAATATGATACCAATCATGGAACGTCAAAATTGTACTTCCTATGCAGCCACTTAAGTGAATATGAATTGGAACCACGTGTACTGTCATGGAGAAAAGTCCATGATATATTAAGGGGAAAAAAACAAGATGTAGAACTCTATCTACCTACCTACCTGAGTACCTATCTGTTGATCAATCTCAAATCCAATTTTAGTATAAAAACACAACACAGAACCAAAAAATAAATATATTCACATGTATTTATTGTAAGGAAGGAGTTAAAGGAGTTGGGCTGCAATCCATTCACTTCCTTTCTGGGGGTGGGGGGAGAGGGAAGAGGGTAGGTGACTTCTGGACCTTTGAGAAAAGAGACCAATGATACAGGCTAAAAGAATAGGAACTTATCTTTGAAATGCCCTTAGCAAGATGTTCCTGGCTAAGGATGATCTACAGTAAATAAATTCAGGACCAATGAGGCATAGCTCTATGAAGAATGTCACATAAGCAAGGGTATATAAAATGATTCATAATTTAAATACCCACACTGCGTGAGGTGATCCTTACTTAGAAACCTCATCTATCTATTATGTTGGGTTAGAGATGCAGGTCTGAGGAGCCATTTTTCATGTCCTAGAGATCTTTGCTTCTTTAGAGTTGCTTGATTGCTTGTATCCTTGAAATACTTAGAAAGCCTTGATACTAGGTAATATTACTGATTTGTGTTAGTGTGATTTGACAGTCTGATCTTGTATATCTCAATACCCATAGAAAAAAAAATCTGAAAAGATACACACTTAATGGGGCTTGGGATATGAGTTTAGGAAAGGAGTAAGAGACAATATTTAACATTCTGCTCTCTGCATATGTCTGTACTGTTTTAATTTGTGCAAAAAAAAATTACTTTGTAATTAAAAACTCCATAAAAATTGAATTTAAAGGTTCTACAGGTTAATTTTCAGAACAAGTGTATAGATTAAAAAGGTTTGGCTAAAAATATTGAGTTTAAGAACTGTAAATGATAAACTTTTTAGAAAGGATGATGAATATTTAAAAATGTTTCTCTAATATATATAGTATCTCTCTGAATTATTTCTGATTTGTTATAATGTATATAATTTACTTATGACTCTAAAATTAAAATGAAAAGCAAGCCATAAAGTGGGAGAAAATATTCCCATCTCATATATCAGACAAAGGACTTGTATCTAGAATATATATATAACTCTTATGACTCAGTAAGATAAACACAAATTAAAATGGATGGGCAAAAGATTTTAACACACACCTCAAAGAGTGTATGTGTGTGTGTGTGTGTGTGTGTGTGTGTGTGTGTGTGTGTGTGTGTGTGTGTGTGTGTGTGTGTGTGTGTGTGTGTGTGTATGTGTATGGCTAAGTAAATGCAAATTAAAACCACAATGAGATACTACTACACTATCACTGGAAATGATTAAAATTAAAAGGACTAAAAATACCAAATGTGGGTAAGGATGCTGAACAACTGTAATTCTCATACGTTACTAGTTAGAATTTAAAATGGTACAACTTTACAAAGCTGTTTGATAATTTCTTTAAACATTCAACATCTATCATATGACCCAGCCATTTCACTTGTATTTGTTCAAGAGAAACAAAAACATATATCCATGCAAAGCCCTGTACATGAATGTTCATAGCAGCTTTATTTGTAATAGCCCCCAACTAAAACAACCCTAATGTCTGTCAATAGGTTAATGGATAAACAAAACCTGGTATATCAATATGGTAGAATTATTCAGCAACAAAAAAGAAACAAAATAGCAATATATACACAACACGGATGAATCTCAAAGTCATCATGCTTAGTGCAAGATATGAGTACCTACTTGTATGATTCCCTATTTGCAAAAAGTTCTGGAAATATAAACTAATCTATAGTGATAGAAAGCAGATTAGTGGTTGCTGGGGACAGGAGTAGAGGGAGGGATGGATTGTAAAGAGGCATGAGCAAACTCTGGGTGTTGATGGAAATATCTGGCATTTTATTTATGATGGTTGCTGAGTATATACCTGACAAAAACACATTGCCTTGTGTACTTTAAATATGTGTGTATTTTAAGTAAAGTATATCTCAATAAAGTGTACTAGAAGAGCTTAAAGATCTATTAACAGATGTTTTTGGAAAATGAAATAATTATACCTTAATTTGTTAAACTGGACTTTTAAATGTTGTTTTTTTTCCCCCAGAAAGATTATCCACCTAACATAAGGCCAATTCACCTATGCAGAACTACTGCCCATCATATTGTGTCACTTATCTTGTTGCTCTTATGAGCCAGACATAGGGACTCTGGAGCCAGTTATTAGCTGTGTAAGCTTGGTTAAATTTCTCAACCTCTCTATGCCTTAAGTCCCTCATCTCTAAAATAGGGATATAACATATACTTCAAAGAGCTGTTGTGAGCCTTAAGGAAATGAATATACATAAAATGCTTAGAACAGTATATGGTACATAGCAAGTACTGAATGAATGAGCTTTTATTGTTACTCAGGATTTCATCCATTTTACTGACCTAGTGAAATGTTCTCCCAGCCAACTTTTCTCGTAACTACAGAAAGCCAAATAAAGGAAAAGTTATGTGTAAACAGAGCAAGAGTGCCTGACAGGAGTACCTAATTCTTTGTATTTCAAGATAATGTTCATGTTTTAGAGGACCTTTTTAGTACTTATTTTTTGAAATGTTTATTTTTGAGAGAGAGAGCAAGTGGGGAAGGGCAGAGAAAGAGGGAGGGAGAGAAGCCTAAGCAGGCTCCACGCTGTCAGTGCAGAGCCCAATGCGGGGCTCAAACTCACTAAATGTGAGATCATGACCTGAGCTGAAATCACAAGTTGGACACTTAATCGACTGACTTCAGCTCATGATCTCACAGTTGGTGGGTTCCAGCCCCACACTGGGTTTTTCGCTGACAGTATAGAACCTGCTTGGGATTCTCTCTCTCTCTGCCCCTCCCCTGATCACACTCTCTCAAAAATAAACATAGAAAGAAAGAAAGAAAGAAAGAAAGAAAGAAAGAAAGAAAGAAAGAAAGAAAGAAAGAAAGAAAGAAAGAAAGAGAAAGAAAGAAAGAAAGAAAGAAAGAAAGAGAAAGAAAGAAAGAAAGAAAATGGAAATGAAATGAAATGAAATGAAATGAAAACTGGGGGCTCCTGGGTGGCTCAGTTGGTTAAGCGTCTGACTTTGGCTTAGGCCTTGATCTTGTAAGTTCAAGCCCCGCATCCATCTCTCTACTGTCAGTGTGAAGCCCACTTGCGATCCTCTGTCCCCCTTTCTCTGCCCC